CTCCTTCCCTTCCTCTCTCAAATTATCCCCTCTTTCCTCCTTCCTCTCTGCCTTTCCGTCTGCTGATCTAAATCACTGTGCTCATAAAATATAAACAAGATCTCAACTCTCAAGCTCAATACTCAAACAGAACCAAGATAAAAACGAACGATATCCAAAAGTCTTGAGAAAACCAGAATGAAACAATTTCCAGAAGAGTTCAACAGTATGTGACTTTTAGATCTTCATTTCCAATTAGGGCTAGGTAGTCAATATCTAGTCTTAAAGAGTTACGTTATATCAGATAATGTTCCTGCCGTTTTGTGGTCTTCCATTAATACACTATCAGCGTTCCTGTAATCACCCGCGTACCGATGGCCAACATTACATTAGAATACAAGGCCGAAACCGATTAATGATTATAAAAAAAAATGCGAACACGTAAACCATGACGAGACTTCCTTAGTGAAGACCTCCGTCTCCAAAAAGGTTCTTGAATGGGCTTTTATATTCATCATTTCATATCGCAAACTCAACCACCAATCAATTTGGCACCCAATTCTTAAAATAATAAGTAAAGAAGCAACTCTATCAAAAGAATTGACTTCAAGTTCCCGTAGTCCTCCCCCTGAACACGCTCACATGTCATGCCTCCCATTTTAAAGAGACAAAGAAACTCACTAACCTTGGCCAAGGAAACCAACGCTTTCTCCTCAAGTTCTTCCACAGGAACCGTTTTCCGAGCAGCTTCCTGGCGTCTTGAATCCTCGTACTATAGGAATCAGGATATAAGAAGACTAAAAAGATGGAACCATTGAAGATTTGGAGTTGTAAATATTCATTAGGAAAGGGAATCCAATTTATTCTATTCCATTGACTATGTAATACTTTTACTTTTACAACCAGCTTCAAGAACTTAAATGTCGTGTATTCATCTCTCTCAGCGACCAGCCATGTGAAATTACCATTTGGATTTTATCAACGTAAGACCGTATTCTATTCTCAAATTGTCCATTATCTTGGCTCGCAAGATACTGCTGCAACATCAACGCCTCCTCCTCCTCCTGTACACACAAACAGAAATATAGATAAAAGAGAAGGATAATTAATTTCAAATAAATATGATATGCACTTCAAAATTTACATCCATTGCCGGAACCTCAGAAAAGAGGACCCCAGGTTCTCCCAGAAAGGAGGCTTTTTTTTTTTTTGGGGGGGGGGAGCACCTGCAAGAGTCTGGCCAACTCCTCGTCTGATTTCATCAATTCGGCATTCTGAATGCTTGATTCTGTCTGCTGTTTATGTTCGTCGATGGAAAGCAATCGCAGTTTATCGGAAATTGTGTTGAGATCCGAGTCACTTGCCACGAGGCGATCACCTTCACAGCCATAAATCTGTACCGAGAATTAATGAATTATCGATGAAAAAAAGAAAGCACAAAATTTCGCCAACTCTTGCGCACATAAGGACAAGTATAGGACAGAATAAATGAAGAAGAACTGAGACCTTTTGCTCATCGGGGGGAATAGAGGTGAGGGAGAAGAGCTGGATTTTGAAAACCTGCAGAAGATAAGGAAGTCGCGTTACAGGAGCAGCAGCGGAGGGAGAAAGAGGAAATTGTTTTAGGGAGAAACGCAGGCATACTTCGAAGCCATCGTCGGGATCGTATTCGACATCGTAGTTGGAGTCATTGTGAAGCACTTGAAGTTTTCGGGCCACCATGTTCTCCTTCTTCGATAATGCTGGTTTCGCAGCTCCGAAGCTGAAATGTCAGAGCTGTTGGAGGGAGGATGGTTCAGTGAGAGTTTGCTGTCAGCTGTTTTTCTTCCTTTCGATCCTTTTTTTCCAACCCCTTTTGGGGCAAAAAGAAGGGATGGTCATGGTCTTTGCAGGGCAACGGGAGAAACAGTGCCCACGGACTAGGGTACAAATTTACAATATTAGGTTGTTAATTCATGCTGAAGGGGTTTAAACATGTTAAAGGCATGATTAGGATAATATAATTAATACGCAAAATGTAAACTCTTCATTTCTTGTATTTTATATGAAAATAAGTCTCTTAAAAAATTTAATAATACAAGTCCCGTAAAAAATGATATTTCAAATTCATTTATGACAATTAAAATTGCACATTCATTATATTGACGTTCTTAGGGAAGGGGGCAAATGTTTTCAAAATTGCATATGATCTTTAGCCAATACATGATTTTAGCTTTGTCTGTAGTCTTTTTTTTCCCCCTTTTATTTTAGTTCTCCTTCTGTTTGAGTTTTTTTTTTTTAATTTAGGCACATATTTTTTTTTTACTGACAATAATTCTGTTTGAAACACTGTAAGTACTGAATGTTGATGTTTAAATAACACTTGACTTATAAAAGACTGGGAGATGAATCAAAAGTAGGGTTGTTCAGGGGACGAATCGGGACTGGGACAGGCCAGTCTCGATTTCGTCCGATGAACAGTAATAGAACAGAAAATATGTCCGGTGTCCCGGTGTCCCGGTCAATCCTAGTGTTGTCCTGATCTCGGTCGGGACAGGACTGGGACGTCCCGATATTTTTTTTAAAAATTTTTTTTAATAAAATTTGATTTTTTTAATTATAGTTTTTTAGGCTTAGGTTTTATAAAAACATCTTTTTATTTTTTTATTTGTTTGGACACTCTTAAATAAAAGCCCAAAATATTACATATAATAGTCATTAAAAACTTTAAACAAAAATTTTTAACACAATAAAAACTTGCTAAAAAGTCTAATTATCAATAATCTTAAATCATCAACAAATATAAAAGCTCTAAATAAATATATCTATACTTCCATACAATAATCTCAAATCTTAAAAAAATATGAAAAAAAATAATATTATATAAATAGGATAAAAAATTAAAAAAAAAGAATCGGGAGGGGATCGGGACGGACGACCCCGTCCCATGTCTTGTCCCGATTCCTTTTTTGTTCTATCTCAAAAAATTTCGCGATGGGTTCATTCCGTCCCAATAAAATTGGGACTGCAACGGACTGACTGGGACGGGTAGGCCTTAAAACCCCTAGTCAAAAGTGCCGAGGCCTATACTAGAGAATCGCGGATCACACACTGGGCTAGGCTTGCTAGCTAGCCGAATCTGATCACGAGTGCTTTTTTGTCTTTTCCCTTCTTTTTGCTGAAGAGTCTGATCATGAGTTTATATCTGGAACAAATTATGCTCCATTTGAACCAAAAAAAAAGAAAAAGATATGGTTTGTTGCTAGTCCAAAAAAAAAACAAGAAGAAGAAGATGTGATGTTGTTACCATACCCAAAAACACAGGGACATGGCTCGTTGATTTGAGTAATCTCCCTTGACAATAAAATTCAAGGCTTCAGCTTTATTATCCCAGACCGTGACTTTTCTACATGATTTAATTTAATTTAATATAACCATGTTTGCTTGGTGAAAAATCCCATCCTCTTTATGAACCCTTTATATGATCCAGAATAAAGTGTACTCCATCTCTAATTTATATTATCTGCTATCTTTAATATAAGGGTTAATTTTACTTTCAATTTGACCATAAATATAAAATCCCAACTCACTTTGTCTTTCATAATTATTTAATTTTTTTAAAAGTAGTTATTACATTGTACTAATTACACATGTTAAATATTTCATCAAATAGTAGTTTTAGTTAATACACATAATTAGTAATAATATTCTATAAAAGACAATACATATTTATTGTAATAACTAATTTAATTTTTTTTTAATCTTATCAAATTAATTAATTAGGTCTTGTATAATAACTGTTCTCACAAATGATTGGTCCACAATGAAACGTCTTCTCACTTGGCGCTGCATCTAATCATTTACGCGCCACGAGGCTAAGGATTAAGGAACTCACGCCGCTTCACGCGGGTAATTTTCTTCGGAAAGTTACTTTCCAAATTCATTGCCTCCTCTCTGTATTGGCACGCGTCGCGCGTGAGCAAATGTATCTGACCCCTATGAAAGAACGAAAACGAAAACTAAAAAACTGTGTAAATCCAAATCAAATTATAGTTTTAAAAATAATTTTATGGTCTATGAGATAAATATATAGAAGAATTTATCTCGATTTACGAAAAAGTACTTATGAGAAATATTTTTTAAAGCATCCAAACACCTCTTAAAACGGAAGCGGGTACGGATAAATTATGCGACGACCGGGATTTATGAAGAAGATCGCACATGGCTTCATCATGGATGCCAAAGTTCGGAAATAATGGTGACCCTGATGTTTGTCCTAACTAATTACAGACACTTTTTTTTTTTGGCATTATAGGAAGTTTATATAGCTATATATTATTCGCAGCTATAAGTCTGCAGCAGACAATAATGCAACTAATATTGATCATAAATTTCATTACATAAGCATTGATGGTCTTAATGATGAACTGATATCTGATGAAAAATTAGAGGAATGACAGTCTAATATAAGTTGTGTACTCTGTGCATATTAAAGGAATTAAGGCTTTGGTCAAAAAAAAAAAAAAAAAAAGGAATTAAGGCAGCATCGCGTACGTGCACTTAGCTTGTGGGGCGAGCCAATTTGGAGATTTTGGCGGGTGACATCTCCCATTACATGAAGATGAGCGGTCTTTCAAATAAATACTAGTTTACTAATTTAATTTCATTAAAAAATTAGTTAAATTAGTTATTTATAATAAATATGTATTGTCTTTCTTAAAATATTCTTGCTAACCAAGCATATTAGTTAGAATTACCATTATTAATATAAGGGCTACTTTAGAAAAAAAAAATGATAAACAAAATAAATTAGAGTCTTATATTTAAAATCAAAATAAAAGTCAAACGAACTCTTATATTCAGGACAGAAAGTAGTACTCCTCCGGTCCTAATTATAAGACCCAATTGACTTATTTGAGAAGATTAAGGAAGTAAGTTAAGTTGGTTATTTATAATAAATAAGTGTTGTCATTCATAAAATATCCTTGCTAATTAAGTATATGGCTAAACTATCATTATTAGAAGGGTTATCTTGGAAAAAAATACATAAATATAAGAGAGAAAATGGATTGGGTCTTATAATTAGGACCAAATAAAAAGTCAAATTGGGTCTTATAATAAGGACCGGAGGAGTATTATTTATATAGACTATACGGTTAAAGTACCCTGATTTTTTTAATAAAATAAAACTCCCACTAAAAGTTTTTGGGGACCCCTTTCTTTTTCTCTCTGGGCTATCGCCCATTTGAATGGGAATTGTATGAGATCTCATGTAGATTGATGTTCTTAGAGACTCTTTGCAAGGATCGATATCACCTGCCTATTAACCCAAAGATTGCCTGATAATTCAATAAGAAAAAGTACTGTTAGAATGAATAGTAAATTGGATAAGAAATTAGATAACTGAAATTCTATATCCAGAGAGTTAAACGGTTCAGATTTTGCGGAAAACAGAGTGTCAAGATAAACCAAGATTGTAGGATCTCAGCATATGCCTGACTTACAGCAAACTAGCAACGAAGCTGTGAGGACTCGTTTGTTGTGAATATTTTCTGGACAGGATTTACTCCTCCCTGTTGTTTTTGTTTCCTATCGGCTGAAATGATTTATTCCCTATTTTTCTCCAAAAAAATACCTCATTTATAAAACTCGCACCCTTAGTCCTTGTGCTGGATATGGTTTCTGTACATTCATTCACTTAGCTTCTCAGATTTAATTTTTCATGACTTTTTTCCTTTGCGTGGGGGAGGGGGCGGGTCTTTCCAATATCGATGCTCAAGGTACGTCATGTCAGTGTCTTTGATTAGCAAATTAAGTTCACTCATTAAAATTATATAAATCCAACAGACCAAAAGTAAGGTTTTTTTTTTTATTGATCGCGACAGCCTCTGTGTTTAGCTTTAGAGCTCAAATTTTAGATGAACTCTTGTTATGCTCCAAAAGTCCACCACGCCTCGCATCAAATCAAGCTAAAGCATGTTCGAGTAGAGTTTAACTTCAATTTTATATAATTACTGAGTCGGCGGGGTCCAGCTGTCCGGAGGAAGCTCAATTAGGTTGAACTTCAAAAGGCTCATGCTTAATTGGCTACGTGTTCTTAATTTATTGCAAAAGAGAAACCATCAAAACATCAACTCAACATCGAATTGCTTCATTCACTTTGTTCCCTTTTTTTTTTTTTCCTTTTTAAATTATTCGAAAACACGTACACAGAATACATCATTTCAGGTAATACCTAATTTGCTTGTACGGTACATAAAATTTAAGAAGACAGATTTAATACTATCTCCATTCATTAATTATAAGACCCTATTTATAGACTACAAATGAGATCTTATAATTAAGGGCGAAGGCAGTGTATGATACATGCTAATATTAGTAGATAAATTGAAGCATGGAATTAGAAGACTCGGAGACGTTTTATTATTAGTAGTGTGCTAATTAACTTGCTCTAAACTGTATATTAGAGATAAGGCGAAACGACACAGAGCTCAATAAAAAAGCCACACAAAAAAAAACAGTGAGTAAAAACTAAAAAGCGACAGGAACAGAGCCTAAAAAGAAAAGGTAAGTGTTGATGGTAAGGCTAACAGAGAAAATTTATGCTGACCCACTGCATAGCATATTCTTGTAATACTGCAAGTATGAGCAGGCTTTAGCCGTTGTGGTTGTGACCGGTAACATGGATGGAGGCCTATATAGCTAAAAAGGGTGCAAATTTAAAAATGGGCTGGTCCCCTGTATATATAAATATGCGCTTAAACATGTGTTGGATACTCCATTTGGGTCGATTCCAAGCTAGTTGATGCCTACCTTTCACATATACTACAACACGTACAGACAATAAGACATTAGAAGGAGAGATAGCTGGAGAGAGAGAAGTTAGAAATGTATGCAAGCCAAGCCATCAGTAGCCAAACACTGGATGGCTGCATGTGGTGGCGTGAGCGTGATGTTTTTAAATTCTTCCCGATCGCCGGGACCACTTCTCCACACTCTCTCCTTGTTTTACTTTAATTTCCATCTCTCTTCCTAACACACCCACCCATCCATCCTCTCGCCTGTCCATCCCGTGACTGATCGTTTTCTCTCACTGCATTTTTTTCCCACCCAGCCCCCTCTGAGCCTATCCCTCTCTCCATCTTGTGCAGTTCTCTTCTGTTATATATCCATACATATATGTAAAAGTAGGGTTGGGTTGAGTAGATGCTACAGCAAAGGCACGCGAACGCGAAAGAAAATTAAATAGGGAGAGAGGGACAGATGTTAATGTTGACACATGACACAGGACAAAAAAATATGACACGCAAAATCCCAAAACTGCCTGGCTCCTCCCCATTGATTGTATGTAGCTACCAGAGATGGTCCAAGTCTACCCTAATTTAACCAAAAAAAAAAAATTATGCAAAAAAGAGGGTCCAGAATAAAAGGAGGAAGGGTGGGTGGGGGACTGCCTGCGTCTGCTTCTATATATGCCTTTTGTTGGCTATATATGTTTTGTGCTCCCACCCCTCTTCCGTTTTCGCAGTGAGAAGGAGGAAGAGCCTGGAGAATACGGAGACGGAGGAAGGGGTAAGTATAAGGTGCGATAATCTCATGGTGCACCCTCTAGCAGTTGAAGCTGCCAGCATGATCTGAGCTCACCTTCTTATGTGGCGGGAACAGATCATGCGGCAGTTTCAGCTGTTGAATGGGAGCAGCGATCCCTGCCCTAGCTGATTCGCTTTCTCCGATCTGCTCACCACCTCCCTCAAACCCTAGAAAAAGGTCTGGTTTCTTCTTTTTCCACATTGATGCTTTTCTAAACAGTTCCTATTATTTCACGCACGCTTCGTTCCCTTACTTATCCATTGAAAAGTAAAGAAATCTAAATTTTGAGGTACAAATTAATCCTCAAGTGAGGGGAACGCGGTTTGGTCAAGCCTCGGGGGTGGTGCTTCTCAACTGTATTGGTGTACATGCTCGTCATATACTGTTTGTTTGCACTCCGGTGTAACACGCGCAAACACATGCCTTTCTTTTTTACTCTCTTGCAACTATTCTGATTCGTATATCTACATTCAGTTTTGCATTTCTTCTGTTCTTTTTGTGACTGATGAATCACAGCCCACTTCCAATTTCCAGATCTGGGCAATACTATTATATGTGCCCATCTAATAAACGGAATCGTTAAAGCTCATCAACACGCAGGCCTTCGTCTCCGGCATGCTTTGGGTAATTGAGTCCCTTTCCACAGATCCCATTAGTGAGCGCGGAATAAGCTTTGTGTGTTGCCTTTTAAATTATTTATTTTTGATGGAGTTATATATATAGGCATCATATAAAGCACAGTGTTAATAATTAATAACTAGTAAATGATATTATACACGAGCAGCGCATCATGCTGCAGATCTATTGCCCAACCCAGAGAGACTAGATGATGCAATGCATAGAATGCAATATACGGATTGCAAAGCTTAGACTTGGAGATATATACCTGATTTTTTATCCGTTGGAAGAATATAAAGGGACCGCGCGAGTCCTTCGTTTTTTGATGAAAGTAGAGTTCTCCAACTTTCTGCGGGCAGCGTGCCAGAAACTCCGGTTTCTTCAACTGATGAGGAGGCAGACGAGTTAATTATAAACTGAAATAGTGTTAGTAATTTTTGGCCCAAAAAACATAGAAATAGTGTTAGTAATTCTTTTTGTTTATCCATATTTCACATGGCGGAAACAAAGACACTGTGTATACATGCTGACCATTATATTTGACAGATGCATGAAATTTTGGACAAGACGCCGGATCAGGAGAAAAAAGGGAAGAAAGAAAAGAAGGGAGGAAATTTGAAAAAGAAAACCTCTGATTTTAGAGGTCTATATACTCGGGCCAAACCAAATTAAACTGGCCATATATATATATGTATGTGTATATGTCGTCTAGGTGGCATAACAGCAACCATATGCATAAAAAGAAAGCTTCTTTGACGCCGACAATATGCTTAATTATAGCAATGAATGATCATTTAGTTGGAATTTAATTTAATTGTTCACTTAAGCTTTCTCTTGGACAGGAGGGAAAATAGGGTAAAGAGAATGTGAGGAGGGAAACTTTAATCAGTAGAAGTTTCCCATTCAGGCCCTGCGTTTAACTGCTACATCACCGCCGGATGGTGCCTCGTAATTGGTAGTAGCATTAGGAGGTGCCACTGCCAGAAAAATGTACGAAGAAATAGAACAGCTAAGGTTGTTGTGTGGGAAGTGAATGTGATGATGATTAGCAGTGGTGGAAAGTGCTTCAATTTACAAGGCTGATTATGTGCCCCATGATCCAAGGATGCTCCACTTGCATCTCTAGCAGCTATCGCCTCCTTCTAACTGTATTAATTGATTTTCTTTTTAGTGTTGGAAGACAGCGGTAACTAACTTAATCTATATAGAAACGACACGCGCATGATTATATAAAATTTGTCATCAACTAAATTATAAAAGGGGAGCTTGTTTTAAAATTAGTATAACTTCATACCCAATACTACCTCTGATTCTTAATATAAGAGTTAGTTTGACTTTTAATTTAGTTCTAAACATAAGACCCCAATTCATTTTATCTTTCATATTTATTTATCTATTTTTTTAAAAAGATAGTTATTGTAGTAGTACACATGTTAAAAGTTCCATCAAATGATGGTTCTAACTAATACACATAATTAGTAAGGGTATTTTAGGAAAGACAACATTTATTTATTACAAATAATTAACTTAACTAATTTTTTTAATCTACTCAAATTAGTCAACTAGCTTTTATATTAGAAACAAGTACATTGGTGCATTGGGTATGATAAAAGAAATAGTTTAGAGGAGATAAAAAGAAATTATAGAAATATATACAACACGCCCATTAACTATCAGAGAGGTAGAGGGATAGGTACACATGAATTTCACTTTCATAATTTACAGTGTTAATTAATAATAGTTATTCTTATAGTATTCGAACATAAATTCTGCAAGGACGCATACAAAAATATCTGAATAAAAAAAATTATACAGAACTCAACAAAACGACTGAAAATTTTTAAAATAAGAAGCCTCTAAATCTAGCCAAAATAATATTATTTATATTTGGCAGATAATATGACCTTTAATTTTTACCATCTTTATTATATCCCAGTTTAGGAAAAAAGCTCAGATAATTAACTCTATACACTTAACATGCTTATTTTCAATTAGTATTTGAATTTAGTTAAATAGCGTAATATTGACTATGATGCGAATGATGCAGAGAGCGTACGATTGTCTATAATTTATATCCTGACATTTCATAAATTTTATAGAAGCTAGATCCGTGTTATCGTAACATATTGATATTGGTTCGATATTGTTATAAATATAATAATATCTTTGTAGATGTCTATACATCTCCCTTTATCTTCTATATCTTTTATAATCTCTAATATCTCCTACTATCTCTATATCATACAATTATCTCATATTATCGTAATCTGTAGATTCTATCAAAGATGTAAAGCTGTGCCTATAAATAGAGGCCATGTATAATGTATTGTGTATTCTTGAATTGAATGAGAAAAACTCTCTCTTATCAATCCTCTCTTCCTTTGTATGATTCTTCTCTATTCTTCTTTATTCATAACACGTTATCAGCACGAAGCTCTGACCAAGGTATGTATGATATACCTTTCTATTCCAGCATAATTTTAGAGCATTGTCTATGTTATTTTTCTTGAGTATCTCTTGCTTTGTTCAAATAAAAATATCTCGAGCATCACATATATGGTGTTTCAGAGTATTCGTATTCGTATTCAATTTATCTAGGATAATCTAAGCCATTACATGGAATTAAAAAAAAAATTATCTACCGTTGTTTTAAACATCTGGTTCTATGGCTATGATTGGAGACTTTTTTTCCCCTCTATTTCTTATTGACCTGATGTCACTATTTCGATGGAACCCGAAGTTCCAATGGATACTAGCAGTATCTTAAAAGAGTTACTATCTAAAGTTAAATGGCCAAAAGCCATATAGTTCTAAGTTCTTATCTCATTGAGATTAAATGGCTAGAAGCCATATAACTCTGATTTTACATTCTTTTCAAATTAAATGGCTAAAAGCCATATAATTTTGATTTTCTATATTATAACCAAAAGCTATACAACTTTGAGTTTTTATCTTATGGCTAGAAGCCATATATATATATATATGGTTAATTCTCTATTTTTTTTAAATGACTTGAAGTCATATATATTTGATATTTTATCTTATTAAATAACTAGAAGTATTTACGTATAAATTTTCTATCTTATGGCTAGAAGCCATATATATTTGATTACTGTTATCTTATTAAATGGCTAGAAGCCATGTAATTTGAATTTTCTATTTTATGGCTAGAAGCCATATATATATAATTTTGTTTTATCTTATTAAATGGCTAGTTGCCACATAAATTTGATTTTATATCTTACGGCCAGAAGCCATAAATAGTTGAATTTTTTTTACCTCATTAAAAGGCTAGAAGCCATATAATTTGTATTTTCTATTTTATGGCCAGAAACCATATATATTTAATTTTTTTATTATTTATATATATTATATTGAATTTTCTATTTTATAGCCAGAAGTCAATTATATATATTTAATTTTTCTATATCTTCTTAAATGGTTCGCATTCATATAATTTTGATTTTCTATCTTATGACAAGAAGTCATAAATATTTAATTTTGTTATTAATTGGCTTGAAGCCATATAACATCAAAGTTTTATCTTATAGTCAGAAACCATATATCTTTAATTTTTTTTATTTTGAAATTAAATAGCTAGATATCATGTATTTTTATTTTCTTTATTAAATGGCTTAAAGCCATATAGTTTTGATTATGAGAAGGATCATTATATGGTTTGTTTATAAAAGAAAAATTATGATAATTAGAATTATAAATAATGTAACCCCAGAAAACTAATGACTATATAGTGAAGGATGTATTGGTAAAAGAATTTATCTTTTTTTTATGTTACATTTAATTAATTTGAAATTCAAGTTTTATTTTTATTTTATTCTCATATATTTTTGACATTCAATTTGATATTTATTAATATTATAATTTTGTTATTACTAAATGGCCAGCAGCCATTACACTCATGTTATTGAATGACATGAAAATAATAACTTATGATGTTTTTAAAGCCCTGAAGGCTTATGGTTTAAATATTAAGTGACACAAATGATCTTTAAAAATATATATAATTTTCAATATAGAGTCTTGAAAACTAATGACTTATAAATAGTCCTGAAGGCTTATGGTTCAAATCTTCCTAACATTATCCAAGGGGGAGTGTTATGAATATAATAATATCTTTGTGGATGTCCATATATTTCCCTTTATCTCCTATAAACTCTAATATCTCTCACTATCTCTATATCATACAATTATCTCATATTATCATGTAATCTGTAGATTCTATCAAAGATGTAAAGCTGTACCTATAAATAGAAGCCATGTATAATGTATTGTGTACTCTTGAATGGAATGAGAAAAACTCTCTCTTATCAATCCTTTCTTTCTTTGTATGATTCTTCTCTATTCTTCTTTATTCATAACAGATATATAATTATTTATTTTAGCCAATTTGATGTTATTGTGCAGAATTGGAATGAGCCATGGTGCCCGTGCTCCCAGGTCACAACTTCCAAAAATATATAGAGCAGTTAATTGTTAGCTTTTTATATTTCACATTAAATAAAATATTGACTTTTTTATAACTAAATATCGACCGCGCGAACCAACTAATTTAATGTATTATGCCGAGTGTGAAGAATAACCCATATTGCTGCAGGTCGGTGTTCGTTCCTATAAATTTTATCAACACATTAAAATAGTGAAACTGGTAAAAATATGATATGCTCTTCATGTCTTAAACATAAGACCCTTATACACACTTGTATAAAAGTTTTATATTTAAAACCGGAGAAGTAGTTTGATAATGATGACCTCCATCGAGAGGATATACATGGACGCATGCAGTTAAAAAAAAATATTTTAAAATTTTTTCATATTTTTACTTTGAGTGCCGTGTGTAACTCATGTGTTTAAATTTAAACTTTATGTCTACTTTCACGCCAAAAATACCCAACCTTGATTAATTTCCCTTGTTTAATTCTTCCGTATAAAATAACGTTGTTAACTGACGATAATGACTTGTAACTGCTTTTCTTAATTAGATCGCGAGTCAATGCTTTACATAAGACCTGCAATATAATGAGTTATGTTATTATTTTTATTTACTCCCTAAGTTTTACGTTGTAGGCATCTAAATGTAATATTACGCACGATCTTGCCTGGCGACAAGGTGCCTAAAAGTGACGCGTCTTTGAAACACCCCCCGCCCCAAAACCAAAAAAAAAGGAAAAAAAAAAAAAAGAGGTCAAATATATTGGACAGTCTTGGTTCCTAACGTTGTCTCGCCGGGCAAAAATTCAAGAACAACAAAAACAGAGTCTTGTACGGTATTTCATCTTTGGTGTTGATATTCATACTATTGCTTATGATTAGAAGCACCTTATTTTTTCAAACTCCATATAATATTTCTTACCTCTACAATCTACATACAAGTCACGTTTAAGAAAATTAATTAAATGTTCAAAATATAAATCTCCTCACAAAGGCTGTGCAGTTTTTTTTTGTTTTGGAAAAAAAATATTGCCCCTCATTACATGATCGAAAGAGTTGTGGTGGATAAAAGGGTAAAGAGAAATGTAAGTGTAGGTGATATATTGAGTTAAATATTGGTAATTATTGAAAATATCAAGTAATTTTAACAGAGTTCATTGATGAGATGTATAATAGAATTAAGTGAGCTCCATAGAGGGAATGATGGGGGATAATGAAATTGGAGTTCCTATTAAAGGGAAAGAATTAAATAAAACAAAAGATGTACGAATTATACTTTTTGTCGAAATACACACAACGCGGAGGATAGATGTAACGACATGATGCTTTTAATCACAGCCGAGGCAGCGTAATGAAGACTTGATTGATATAAATAATTAAACAGCCAGCATCATCCTCACAAACTCTTGGTAATCCACCAGGCCATCGCCGTCCAAATCAGCCACTCTGATCATCTGCTCAAGTTCCTCCTCCGTCACCCTCTCTCCCACAGTTATCATAACATGCCTCAGCTGTAAATGCACGCACAAGTTTTCTCCAAATTAAAACAAATGGTCAAGTGATGGCCAGAGCAGAGTGAATTAATATTATATATATATATGTACCTCGGAGGGGGATATGTAACCATCCTGATCTTTGTCGAACGCCTTGAAAGCTTCTTGGAATTCCTCTTCTGCTTCGGCTTCGGCTTCCTTCATGTTTCAAACACGCAGCCACGTGCATATTATATTTACACATCCTGAGATGTTCCATAATAGCCAGGGATATAATGTATATGTGTTTGTGATGTATACCTTGGTTTTGGTGGCCATGAGATTCAAGAACTCTCCAAACTCAATGGTTCCGTTGCCATCTGCATCCACTTGGCTGATCATAAATTGCAACTCTTCCTGGGTAGGATGTTGATCCAATGATCTGATGGCACTGCCTAATTCTTCCATGGTTATACAGCCTTTTTCATGAACAGCAAGAAAACAGAGGTTGAAGAACGTGATATGCATATAGTTGTGTGTGTGTGTGGAAATGGAAGCGTTGGGAGCAGAAGTACAGATAGTTAGATAGATAGATAGATACCATCCCCATCTTTGTCAAAAAGACGGAAGGCTTCCAGAAACTCAGCAATCTGCTCTTCACTCAGAGCGTCCTTCATGCTATGAAAGTACGAATGAATGGCAAGTGAGAAAGGAAACAGAACATGGGCGTCCACTTCATGCCATGAGAAAGGAAAGGAGATTCCAATTATATATATATGGGCGTGCGTCCTGTTCCTGCGTGGGAAATTGCCTGCTAAGAGGTTGCCCATTTGACCGGCTACCATAATATTATATTATAATACAATTCATATGCAAGCATCTCGGTCTTTTCCGTCCGTCTCACTCTCATCCCCTTGTGCGGAGCGAAACTTCAATTTTTCGTTTACTTATTGTTTTAGTCTCCTCCCTTGGTGGACCTTGTTTCATTTAAACATAAATCGCAACAATAACAGAAGTCTTCATCTATTTGACAAATTCAGCATCTGTATGAACACAGGAATTTCGATGATTATTATTAATAATTACATACAGTGTATTGGCGAGGCCACGTGCTGCTTGTTGACCAGACTAGCCGCTTGTATATTGTACTGTAGCCCAGCATTTGGGATTGATTATCAATACGCGCTGTCAGACGCCGTAATTGAAGCGATGCTAATTGATTTCTCCCTTCCAATGAGAGCGGTTTTCATGAATCGGGAAAATACCTGCGAGCTCAACGCCTCCCAAAACATCAACGTTTCTCTTTTGTGATTCTGATTTGTGGGTCATCATCAGAATGTAACCTTGCTTGAGATTCAAACTTCATCATATTCAAATCGAGTGCAAAATAGAAGAAATGTCACGCTATTGCGTTTGGAAAATTGTGACGACTCCTCAACTTGCTAGACCAAGCAAGCATATGCGTGGAAGACCTTTTCTCCTCTCCAAGCCTCACAAGGCCACATTAACATAGCTCTGATTTAATCTTAACATAAAAGTGTCTCTTTGCCGACAAAACCAACGTACATGAATTAATAAAGAATTCTGGTTCAAAGGAACATCTGTACTCCAGAATTGAAGCACCGTAGCGGGAGAAGTCATGGGTTCTATTCGGCATTTCTTCACCGAGATGCTGTTTAAATAAACATGTTCTGCTTTACCAAATATTTCTTCTTGTCGGTGGCGTCATTTTTGAATTCGAGGCGGTTACTAGTTTAGCTTGTTCATTTCTGCTGACCATGCCCCCCATGAAAAGATTTTATTTCGTCATCTCTATCTCCCACCCTCCTCCCCCCCAAAAAAAGGAGAATGCATGATTCTCAACCAGCCCGATATGTTATAATTAGTTAATAGTTGATTGATTGATAACAATTTTAGGATGACAGGGTCTAACGGAGGAAAACAATCGGCGAGATTCCCCCCGGAGGGTGGAAGAAGATGAAGAAGAGGAAGAGAGAGTTTGGGCATAAAGGCTGGGAAGGCCAAGGATTGGTATCGCAAACCCGGGAAGCAAAGGAGGTCCGTTCCGTCATGGGGTGACCACACCACGCACTGAAGATGATTCTAGGAAGTAGGAACCCGAAACAATAAGATTCCCTGATGCCCCTGGGACCCACCATGCTTACGTCAGGCCACAAGGTAATGGCCCTCGGCCGTCCGTCCCCTTAGATCCCAAAGCAAATCCTCGCCACCCATGCTATCATATTCCCATATTGTTCCCAGTGCGTCCACAGGTTCATTTTTTTCCGGGAACAAAAAGGGCGAAGAAAGCAGGCAAGCAGACAGCTCTACTGTAAGCCTCCAACAAAGTCTGCCGGTCATCCCCAGAGATTTCTTCATGGTGTAGAAGTCAATCTTAGAAACCCGTTTAAAATAGTTTATAAATAATATTTTAATAATAATTTATAAAATATGAAGTAAATATGTAACAGAAGTTTTACCTCAATTTACATAACACATACTCCTAGATAATTTTAGGACCCATTTAAAATGACTTGTAAGCAGTTTTTTAATTATAATTTACAGAATGAGATAAATATGTAAAAAGAGTTTTGTCTTGACTTGCGTAAAATATGCTTATTAAACATGATGGCAAACAGGCCCTCAAACGCTAATACAATCAGGGCATTCTTATTTAACCAGTAAAATAACTTACATCTCAGTAGAAACCCCCTGAGCAGCAACTAGTGGCTTAACCAATCATAAAACACAACAAAAACATTAAAGCTCCCCGTCTACACATCACACACACAGACAGCAAATCACATTGCTAATAAGCCTAAATCACGGACCTCTATGATATATCAATATAGGAGTCTGCTCCTACATTAAACATTCGGGAGAGTAATTTATTCTTTGCCGTCTGCTGCCCGGAGAGCGCCTAGTTGAACAGGGGCTTGGGTCTGCACCACTTTGGATGACCCATAAACTGACGTATCAGTGCCTTGAGCCTTCTCTTTCTCAATCTGTTCCTTAATCCAGAAGTATGTAATTCTGAGCCCATCCTGCGATCAGATTTGAGATACTGTGAGTGTGCAGAACTCAATTTGAGGATCAAAATTGACAGAAAAAACCGAAAGGAGGTGACATTTGAAATAATTTAATTGGAAGGTCACCTTTAACTTCATAGTCGGAGCCCATCCAAGTTTCTCTTTAATCAGCGTGTTGTCGGAGTTACGGCCACGAACACCCTCTGGCCCAGGAATGTGATGTATAGGAATATTCTTGTTCTCAAAGCCAAGAACAATCTCAGCCATCTCATTCATGCTGACCATCTCATCACTTCCAATGTTCACCGGCTCCCGAAAGTCTGATTTTGTTAATCTAAATTCCAAAGTAGCCCAAAGAAAAAGAGCTGAGCCAAAAAAATACATATGAAATGTATTGACACATGCTTGCTAAAAACTATACATTCCTCTGATCTTTAATATAAAACATAATAACTACTTATGGTCCTAAATATAAAACCCCATTTGTAGTTTACAAACGAGGTCTTATATTTAGGACCAAATGTAGTAATTAATTTGAGCAGATTAAGAATATTAATTAAATTAGTTAATATGATATATTTCTTCTAAAACACCCTAATTATCTTCTTTAATTCTCCTCTCTCCCCTACTTGCTTATCGTTAAGAAAATATTAATAGGGTTAATTTGGAAAAAATTAATAAATATGTAAAATAAGTCTTACATGTAGGATTAACATCAACCCTTAAATTAGGTCATATATTAAGAACTAGAAAAGTACTAGTTATCTTGTCCTTAATTGATCAATTCAAACACCTCACTTTTCAAAAGGTAGAATATCCTCCTGTGTCCCTTCAGTTCAATAGCTGTTGACTGATCTAATCACGTCAAGTTTATTTTAAAATGCCCCAATTTTGAAACCCGCTAATCATCTTTCTTTTGAAAAATTGATATAATCACACACACACCCCCGTGAAGATGGATATGCAGATAAGGATTAATCAGCAGGGATTTACCTAAGTACACCTTCGACACACTCATCTATGAAGGTGAAAGATCGTGTTTGACATCCATCCCCCCACATCTCAAATTTATCAGTGGAAGTGATTGCCTTACGACAAAAGGCAGCAGGAGCCTTCTCCCTCCCACCTGTATGCATAGCAACAAAGAAACAAATTTAAAAATTGAAGGGTTACAAAATCAAACAAGTCCAACGACATATTCATGAATGAGACCAAAGCAAAAAAAATATGCAATTTGGTTCGGGGCACACCCTTCCATGTCCCAAAGGGACCATAAATGTTGTGGAACCGGCCAACACGACACTCAATTCCAAAATCCTTGTTATAGTGCTTGCATAATTCCTCTGTTGCAAGCTTCTCTAGCCCATATGCATCTTGCGGCTAAACCCAATAAAATAATTAAACACATAATGAACAACCTTCATATGCAACAGAAGAACCATCCCAATCAAAAATTGAAATATCACCAACGGACCTCAGCTGGCCAAGCATCAGACTCCTTCAAGCTCACATTAGTTTCCAGCTGTTTAAACTCAGGGTAGATACAAGCACTCGAGGCATAAAAAAACCTGGGGCAGAAAAGTGTTTCATGTACACCCCATATATCAAAGTTAACACCATGACATATTTGTTATTCAGTAATTGTCCAAATAGATATATTCAAGTGCCTGTACATGGGACCACTAACCTCTTAACTTTGTTAATCCTGGCTGCCTCAAGCATGTTGAAACTAATCATTGTGTTGTTGTACATAATGACAGAGTGGTTGGACTGGATAAAGCCCATCCCACCCATATCAGCAGCAAGGTTGAAAACGTGGTCAACTCCCTCAGTCACCTTGAGACAGTTATCCATAACCCTCAGATCAACTAGATGGAATTCGTGGCAGAACATTTCTTCAGTCATGTGCTCATTTTTCTTCCAGTCAGAAGCAATAATATAATGCCCCTCGGTCTTCAAGCGCCTTGCTATGTGGGAGGCAATAAAACCACCAGCTCCGGTGATGGAAATTCGAAGCTTTTCTGATGGCCAGTAAGGTTCTCTCTCAAGGTTGTCATAGGTGTATTCACCATACTCAGTTCTTCCGGCACCTCCCATTCTGCAGCGCTTGAATAGGTCAGATGAGCAGAACTTGTTGACAATTAGCTTGAAATCATGGGCTCAAATGATAATATTGAGAAGCAGACACAAGGGAAGATGAAATCCACATTTCATAAATAATTGAACTTCTTAATTAAAAAGGGGAGGGGAAGGGAAAGAACCTCCTAAGGCAAGTCGGCAAAAGTCCAAAAGACACAAGAACTTTAAATACAGAATTGCAGGAGAAACATACATCACATGCCTACATGAAAGATAATAACGGAATGCAACTATACAAGGCTGGCACATTTAAACGGTCAACTAATTTTAGGTGGCGAAGTTTTCGTAAAAATGAAAAGCATGCACCCGAAATCAGTTTCCGCGGCGGAAAGGAAAAGATCAAAAATTGAAGACCCTTTGTTTCGTCTTCCTAGACTGCGGGGGCATAATGAAGAATACAATTGCGAGTGGCGCGCCCCCGCGGCACGAATGGTATGCAACAGAATGAAGAAGATCTGTATCTAGACACACAAGAGGCACTATGAATAGGGAAGAGAAACCGAGGAACAGTTAAGCCCTAAATTAGGAGAATGGTGGCATGACAGGAACCGCAAAAGATGGCTCAAAATCACAACAATAAGTGAGGGGAAAGAAACAAATTGAGAGGTGAAGCACAAAATGAATTATGGCGCGCACCTGTAAAGAGCAGAATCGAGGAGTCGGATGACAAGTGGGATGAAGAAGAAGATGATTTTAAAACTATGAGTGGCCCTGCCATATATAGAGTGGAAACGCAGACCAAGTGAGGAAAGCCACCCATTACTTTTCCCTTACTGCATAATAATTAGTTCGGAGTGGGGCAGAGGGGAAGAGGAAGGGCGGATTTCGCTCTTCCTTGAAAAGGAACACGTTGCAATATGGCTTGAGAAATAATAATGATAAATAAACATTAAACAGATCATACAAACTAATTGCAGAGGAGGCTGAAGGGAAATTACCAGGAAATTGCTTAGATTTGTAGGCAGCGCTCAATTCCAATTCCCAAAGAGTTTGTATGATTATGGGGTGTTTCCGCAGCCAGCTGACTACGCCTGACTGCTGAGGCATGGGGTTCATTACATTTCATTGAGCGTGGAACAAGTCCAAAGCCCCAAAATTAAGAGCGGCCAGCAGAATTATTGATCCACTTTAGTGGGCCCAACTCAGGAAGCAAGGAAGAAACCAGGACAAGTTAATATTCTGCTAAGTTTGCGGTGCCAAACATATACCAGTTTTTATTCTCATCTACTTAATTAATTTCATTGATAAAAAAATTATTAAATTTGTTATTTGTAATAAATATAAATTGATTTTTTAAAGTATTTTTTAAATTTGATTTCTTGAAATATCCTATTAATCATGACTATCCTGGAATTAATACCCTCTTAATAATATATAAGAAGGTGAATTGAGATTTTATATTTAACATTAAATATAATTCTTAAACTAATTTTTATATTACATACCAGAAATACTAATTGATTGATGTTTTACGCAGCCTCTTTGTAATTTATTAATATAAGATAAAAGCAAGGACGAGCAAGCCAGCCGCAATAATTGCATTCGTGGCCGCCCAGGGAAGACTCTGGCTTGGCTGCTTCATTTGATCAGAGGCCACAACGCTCGACCATTCTTCCCTCTCATCCCTGTCCCCATTGTCATTCCTCATCGGCCTCCCCAGATGCGTCTTCCCTCCAAATCGCATACTCTCTTTTCGGCCACCCACCCAGCTAAACATTCCTTTGCTTCTAAACTAATTCTCAGTTACAAGTGATTTGTTTTTCCTTTCTGTTTACAGCACGCATCAGAACATTCAGGAGTGACGTGAATTAAGGTAGGCATATTAAACATAGTCCAGGAAGAAATCAACCTAATTCAGTTTAAACTCAATAATTGTAGGTGTTGGCTGGAGGAAGCAGCGGCGAAGATCCTCCCCAGCTGCAAATTGCAAAGAGACTTTTTGCTGTGTCTTTCCATGCTCTGAATCACTTGCGTAGTCAACTTGGTTTGTGCACTGTGCATGTAACCAAATTGTCAGAGGTTCGACTTGAAGATCAATCCATCAATAGGCCTGTCATGGCTGCTAAGATTGTGATTTTCTTAGTGGTATTTGTGCATCATAAGCCTATTTAGTTTATCCAACAAGTACTTTAAAAAATATTTTTATTTAAATCGAGATAATTTTTTATATATTTACTTTATATACTGTAAAATTATTTTAAAAATTATGATTTGGTTTTTACCCAAATATACATTATCAATCAAACCTAAACAAATCTATACATGCCACGATCACTTGTAAATTCAAAATTGTGATTATATCACAAGTTACCTAATACTGATGATATCAGCTTCCATATTATTATGCGTCAAATCATCAATCAGACTAATGGGGTTGCTGAGTTTAGTCAAGATAGCAGGTGTGAGAAGATCAAGGCATTGTTTTGTTTGAAGAAAATAATCTTACTACGATGAGAGTGAAAACAAAAATAGAATGAAATGAAAATTAATACTATTACTTAAAAAACTAATTTTGATACAAATATAAATAAGAAAAAAGCAAAACAAAAAATGTATTGCAAAGTGATATTTAAAAATTAATATTCATTTGCTTTTAAATATAAGATTCATTTTATAATATAAATTATATTATAAAATGAATTTAACATTCGGGATCAAAAGACAGAATGCAAAATGACAAGAAGGAGAAAATTTAAAAGCCTAAAACCACTCCCAAAATAAATATTATCTCCAGTTTTTAATATAAGACTTCGTTTGACTTTTATTTTGGTCTTAAATATAAGACCCCAATCTATCTTATTTTTAATATTTATGTATTTTTTTAAAAATAATTCTTCTGATAATGGTAATTCTAGTCAAGACATTTGATTAACAAGAATATTTTAGAAAATACAACACCTATTTATTACAAACAACTAACTTAACTTATTTACTTAATCTTTTAAAATTAGTCAGCTAGTTTATAATTAGGAGGTAGTATATAAAAGCTTATATTTCTCAGTTATTTGGAGGGGTATGCATGCTGCAACTACATTCCATGGATTTGACAATGAAAACTTGTCTACCGGGAAAACCTTTTTTTTTTTTTTTGAGAAAATCCTGAAAAAGTGATTATTGAATTTTAAAATTTCAAATCAGTAGTAGTTATTATATTCGTAAAGAAAATGATTATATTCAAAAAACAAATGACAACATATTTTTATAGTAATTCCTAATTTAAAATTTTAAAATTCAATAGTCATTTTTTTATAGATTTTTTTAATCAAATATTTCCAATGTAAAGAGAAATGATAAATAATTAAATTATGCCAGCCATACCAAGTTATAATTTATTTATTATTTTTGTGTGCTTCATTAGTTTTGTATTATTAGTTTTAAAATTTTTTTAAATACACTTTTAAATTTCTTTTAAAGCCTAAATACCACTCTGTTCCATTTGTATTCCATATCAATAAATATATTAAATTAATAAAAATTTGTATACTTGTCCCTATTAGAAAAAAGTATTGAAAAAACATGTGATTCATTTTTTTCACACTTAATTTTTTTATTGTATTTTTTAGAGATAAAATTAAAAAATGTTACTACTTTCGGTCCTTTTTATGAACTTTAAATTTAAAAAAAGATGTAGTTTATTTTATAAATTTTAATTTGGATTTGTCTTAATATTTAATATTTTTTAATGGTGTCCTTAATTATTTCTCTCTTACTATATTTCTTCATACCTTCTTTTTCATTTATTATGACTGCATATCTGAAAACAAAATTTTATTTTAAATTAATTGTAACTAATTTTTTTAATTATTTATAAATTAATTATTTAAAAGTTATAATAGGTAAGTAAAGCGTGTTTATACAACATCTTGTGTCCCATTTAAGTCTTCGCTTGACCGATGTGCCCCGTATAATACAATGAATGATGAGCTCTCACTCCTCACTATTGCAAATAGTAGCATCACGGCCGGCGCGCAATAGAAAGAGAAGCAAAGGTGGGGAATAATATGGATAGGGTGTTTTCAGTGGATGAAATCTCCGACCAGTTCTGGTCACCGCCGACGTCCACCGGAACCCATGAACCCTCCCAGATGAACCGCAGCGCCTCCGAGTGGGCCTTCCAGCGCTTCCTTCAGGAAGCTTCCGTGTCCTCCCCGACCTCTACGGCTTCTTCCTCCCTCCCTCCTCACCCTAACGACGACCGTCCGCTTCACATCAAGGATCAACCCAAACAGGATCCCGCTCTGAATACGGGGGTCTCGCGGCTCCAGAACGATGGTCCCGTCCAGGCCAATGTGCCTTCTACCCCTCCGTCTATTCCCAACATTCCCGTTAATTCCGATGACTACCAGGCTTACCTCAAGAACAAACTCAATCTCGCCTGTGCCGCGGTCGCATTGTCTCGGGTAATTATTCCCCTTCCCTCTTTTGTAATCTTAGGTAGATCGCAGGAAGCATTCGAGAAACCAATTGGATAATCTGCGGCGGTTGAAAATAAGGCGATTTTATTGGATCTGATTTGTTTGATGACTTTCCCCCTTTATCTATCGTCGTCTTTGTGTTGTTGTGTTAGGATAGATGCTATATCCAAAAATCGGATGGAAATATTTCTTACTTTAACCTATTTGGGCGATTTTAACTTGAAACGGCTGACCGTCTCGCTGCTGTTTATTTTTGTGTGGCTGCAATTAGTAATTTTGCTGTATCGGTTCTAAATAACGAAATACTGGAGAATGGGAATGCCAATCTTTCAGTCCAATCATAGGTTTTTGGTATCTTCAGTTTGATTTTAGGATTAACATTCCTGAACTAGGGAAATTAGTGGAGTTGCGTACGGCTACACAACTTTAACTTCGAACACATTTATGATTGTCATGATTTTTCCCTAAATCAATAAAAGTATACTTTTGCTTTCCAGTTGGTGTACCTCGAAGCGAAAGGTGACTGCAATTCCTTTACTAGGCAATAGATATTTGTCAACTTTACATCATCTTTTTGTTAACTTTCCCCCCTTCCACATGCTTTGGATATGAAGCGCATAATTCTTTTTGCACGAGTAAAGGAAATTCCTGTGTTCCTTTCATCTATATTGCAACCCATGCAAGATGTTTGGTTTTCTTTTGGTGCTAGTACTTTTGTTTGAGAATCACTTTTTGACTACTTTGTTTATTTTGATTTTAGACTTCTGCATTCCAGTCATAGAAATTGATGGTGATTTCGTGTGTTTTTCCTCTACATTTTACGTTTGCTACTGTGTGTCTTTCTGTGGTTGTCTCATCTCCAAGTTTGCATCTGTCTAGCAGTAAAAAAAAAAAAGTATCTTTATTGTGTCTAATTTATAAATTTTACTTAAAATTTCATTACTTCCTCTACTCTCCCCCTGTCTTGCTCTCTTCCTTTGATGATAGGGTCAGAATCTAATGTTTTCTTCTACTCACAGCAACAGGGATCTTTAATCAAAGCTCAAGATTCAGCTACTTTTGTTGACAGCGGATCACAGGCTTCTGATTCTTGTCAAGTTGGAGCTCGGGCTACTTTTAAAGGTTTGATTTGGTAAATGTATGTGGATGTGTTTACGGAAGTTTATAAACATATGAATGAATCATTGAAGATTTATAAATTAAATTATATTCATAAAAATAACATCGTGTTTATACTTGGCTGAGTAGAGAAGAGTCGGGAAATGCAGAATTTAAAAGAGATGGTTATATGAATGGTACATGGGTAGTGTAAACGCACTGCTCAGCTATAATTTTATGTTCGTCCTCCTTTCTTCTTTTTTTTTTAAATTTATTTATTGATCTTCCTGGTTTTTGCGGGGTCAGCATTAAGAGGTTGAATATTGTCTCTCCAAAGTCCAAATGTGGGCAATACTGTTTGAATCATGTCTTTGCTGCCTATCTTTATATTTTAGGATCTGGCATATCTGGTTCGTCTGGAAGTGATCCATCTAAATTACTGGATAAAGATACCAAAGCACCAGTTGGAATTCCTTCCTTACCCGTGATTCAAAAGAAGCCAGCTGTTGCAAACAAGCCAACAACAAGC